CTCTACAAACATCCGACAATGGTATTGCGGCTTTGATCATACTTGCCTATATAAGCCGTCATCTGAACCACCAGTAGGAGGCAGCCCAATAGGGCGTGTGTAATAAGGAGTCGAATACATTTCTCTACTGCGCATAACTGAATCCGGATACAAGCTTTGAATAGGTGTCATGGGCGTATATGCACTTACTTGTCTATCTGAGTTGAAGCTAAATGTGGATGCTTGGTTACCTTCAAAACCAGATGTTCCACCAGAGATGGCACTGCTTATAACACTTGGAGTGCCTTTATAAAGTCTGGATTCTTGAGTATCCACGACCGGTTGACCATCTGCCCTGAAGCCTGCCCATAGTTTTGGTCCACAAATATATGGGGTGGTCAAAAGTCGGCCATCCACTGACAAAGGAGGACTGGTGTCTAGTAATTGGCTATCAAAGCCAGCATTTAGGAGGTTTTTTGTGGATGTTTTGCTGAAATGCTGATCTTTGGGTAACATCGTAATGTCTTGCTCAGGTATATGACTAACCAGAGCTTTCTGAGAGCTCGAAGGTAGAAAGCTGTTCCTCATTGACGCATCAGGGGAAAAATCAGTAGGTACTCGGAAAAGTTCAGCACAGCCAACAGGAAAATCTACCATGGCTCCGACGCTGGAAGCAGGGAGAGATGATTTGGTACCAAATGCTGGTTCTATTGGTAGTGCGTATGTGTTCATATATGAACCTGGCGTTGAAGGATAGGAGCTCTCAGAAAGATACTCAGGTTTTGTGATACGTAAGCTACTGACTTTCTCTTGTAGAGACAACTTAGCTTGCTTTAGCGCAGTGAGCACAGTATCACAGGTATCAGACTTTTCCTTTGGCACTGGAAGTAAGGGATAATCTACTTTCTGAATGGTAGTAGTGGCATTACTGCAAAAGGAACCACCTCTCGAGTTTGGTCGAGTTACAGGAGGTGACCGAATAGTTGATGAAGGGTGCTCACGGAAGCTCTGTGGATGGGAAGGCTCACTTTTAGGGCTCTCAGAAATATGTTTTCCTTTTTCTCCAGAAGCATCTTGTTCCACAGATTTGGAACAACAACTTTTGCAGCACTTATCAGGTGGTGTTACTGAATGATCAGGTGAAGCATGCGACAAAGTTTCGAAAGGTCCCCTAAATTCAACTTCATTGGCTCCTAAAGACCTTGTATCACGGAGTGAGGGAACTACTGTGGAATCTTGAAGCTGAGCTTGGGCTTTTTCCCCGTTACATTCGTCTGTCACATCAGAATGGTTTCCTATGTCACATAAATCCTGCAAGACAGGACAAGAAATATTGATCAGGATTTCCAGTGAATACACTGAAATTTCTTTATCCGATTCCTAACTTTACTTGTAATGTAATGATGGAAGCGGAGACTAGATTCAATTGAGGTTTTTCATATTTGTGACAAAAGCTAATCACTTAGATAACGCCTTCAGGAACAATATCGCTATATGCGAGATTGAATATAAAGATAAAGAAAAGCAAACATTTCCCTAATTTCTTAACACATTAGAGAGAAGACAGACTACAAGAATCCACGTATTCACATGCAGTTTCTTAGTAGATGTTCAACCGAGTCATGCGCTATAATTCTGGAACTATCTTGTGAACATTCTTGAAGTTTGATTCATATAAGCATGAGAACATACCATAATTACAACTAATGAACTAGTTCACATGAATAAATAAGATCCCTCAAAATTTTCCAGTGGTCAAAGCCTAAGAATGTAGAGCATACCAGGGCAGAGGATTTATTCTCTGTGAACTTTTTCTCCCATTCCTTTTGAGTCTCTTCCATATCTTCAAAAGAACCAATAACTCGAGCACGATTTTGTAACGCACTCTCTAAGTTGATGTCCATACTGTTTCTCTTCTCTAAAACATTTGAATATGACAACTTCTGCAAACTTTCGTCTCCCTTCACATTGTTCACAACAGTAACATCAGCAACAGTTCTGGATGCTTCTTCACTCGTATTAGGGAGCACTTCAGTGCAAACCCCGTTTTCTTTAAGATCAACTGGATTTCCATCTCTCTTATAATCTTCAGATACAGTTCTGAAAAGTTCAGAAATGTTGGGTTTTGAATACACAACATACATAAGCAAGTATTTTATTATGTCTGCACAATTTGTCTTTCTTATTAGCATGCACACAATAATTGCCATTCATATATCACTGAGCGGCAGAGGATAATAAACAGACCTTGATTCACTGCGTTTGATCTGTCGACAAGATCTTCCTTGGCGGTGTCTAGACGAGGAAAAATAAGCAGAGTCAAAACGCCTCTGTCTCCTATTAAGGGATTCCTTGATCTTATCGGAGGAACCTGGTTCTCTCCTGCGCCCTTTCCACGATAGACTTTTGCCAGACACTAGAAACAAAAACAAATCTTCGATACTGAGGAATTGCTCGATCTCATTCAACACCTAATTCAGAAACTTTCCTCCACTGAGATAGAAACTCTAACCTGAATTTATCTGAGAGTAGCATTCATGATCAGAGCTTGAATCATAAGCATCCGAGAAATCAGTAAACCCATTTTCTTCCAAAATTGCAAGGACATCAGCTGTTGCCTGTTCTGCCTTCTTTCTTTGCAAAGACACAATCTTGAGCTGTTCCTCCAGCTCTGCTACCTAAAAGGTTAACACAGGCTATAAAAAAAAACCAATTCACAAGATGATACAAATTAGCAAAAAAAAAATCATACTTTATCAGAAAGTCCATCAAGCTTAGCTCTAGCACTCTTGGAAACAGCTCTTTCAGCAAGTAAACGTGCACGAAGAAATTCAATGGTCATTGAAGTAGGATCTTGTGAGTCTGAATCAATAGACCTATAAAATGCACACGAATCAAAAAAGGATCAAACTAGCTTCTAACTGTGATTCGATTGTAACTATGGAAATGGAAAGTAAAACAGACAAAAACTATACCGATGATCCAAGTTGTCTTGATTCGCCATCACCAAGAAAGACCAAAAAGATCTGCAAATTTCGAAGATTTGTCTGAAATTTTTTAAAGAAACTGAGCCTGCGGTGGAAAGACGTCTCTTTAATAAATCAACTTCACAAGTCAATGAGTTTAGGTTTTTAATTTTTCATTGGTTGTTAATGATATATTTGATTAATATTAGAGATAATGATTAGTGATTAATTTACTAACTTGGATTTAAATACTTCGAGTTAAGAAAAAGTCTTGGGTAAAAAAAAAAAAATTTTACTTTTTCTTTTCATTTAATTTTAAAATAGAGCGGACGCCAAAAAAATATTGAAATACGGTTTTATTGGCGTCTTTAGGTTACAAAGA